ATTTTCATCAACAGTCACGTAAACATATTTGAAGTCCTTTGTTATGTCATACTGGCGATGATCATTTTCTCCGAATATCCACTCACACTGTGGTAAATGTCAGTAAGCCAAGGAAAGAAACATGTTCAGGTGAGAAATCATTAAAACGAGGTGGTTAAATACCTGATGGTTTCTTTATTCCGTTTTGCGCTCAGCGCGCGCTCTTGATAAAGTAAAGACCTTGTTAACCTGCTTTTTAGCACGAGGATCGAACATGTTTGGTCAAAGAATGTTTTCTTCTCTTTTAATCTATAATATGTTTGACTTGGTATAGATTTTGTGGGGATTTTCCCCGGGAATAATTCTAATACTGACATAATGTTTTTAGAAGCATAGCTTGTGTTCCTAGAAATAAAATATGTAAAACAATATGTTGAAAAGAAAACCTTGTAATGGAAAATGACACACCCAAAGAAAATCTGGAAACAGCAAGAGAATCCCGTACGACCAAATTAAAACATTCAGTGACTGAAAAATGCTGTCAGCAGTTTATATCTCGGCCTTGGCTGAAACATTTGCGTGTTAAAAGACATTATAATTACTATTACTCATAATTTGTCTTTTTAAGGTCTTAAACGATAGAAATTATACAGTTATGAGTCCGAATTACCAAACAGAGAAAAAGAGTTACAAAAATTATTAAAATATATTGTACTACAAAATCAGTGTGGTACTACTTCTTTTTTGTATTTAATAAAACAATCATTACAAGACTATTCGAATGAGCAGCTTAATTCACACAACGATGGCTTTATAATGAAAAAAATTGGGTATCAGAACACTTTGCGAACACTCAGATAACACAAACTGCGTTTTTAAAACATACAATCATGGGCAAAAGTCTTAGGACACACACGTTAGACAAACAGTCGCACGAATACAACTTCACCTTTGTAGTCTCTCCCCCTACATACAATACTGAAAACTAGTACCTGCAATTTCTCGCGAGTTTCAACATTGTATTGGGTGGGGAGATGGATTAAAAACACGTTTTTAAAAGGGATAGGAGTGCTATTTCAAACTTCAGTTGTAAATCACAAATATAATTCGTCGCATTGCATCAGTGTCCAAAGGACTTTTGTCCTTCAGTCCAAGCTACTTCAGTTCCACGATTCATCCTTAGTGGCTCGAATCCTGTCCGTGGGTCTTAACTTGGATTCTTCTTCGTAGATGCCTTTGTCACTGACAACCTTGATTTCTTAGTTGAAAGAGATTCTGGTTCTGCTGAAAATAACTTTATCTACTTCTAATGAGTTTCCAAATACCTTCACTAGCATCACTTCACTTACACTTCTTTTACTTGGATTATACCTTTTTTCTAGTGACATTCAACATAAAAGAAACAGATCAGATATGTCTCGCTTGCTTGAAGATGGAAAAATGACACGTTTTCTTTCAGGGATTGGACTAAATATGAAAGAATCCCCGTTCAAAAGTATTACAATAAGCTTTATCTTCTTCCTTCTGATTAAATAAACTATAATGACATTATCTATAGGCAGTGCGTTACTTTTTCTAACAGACGTTGTGGTATAAATGGATACGGGAAAGATATTGTGCGATAGAAAATAGCACCCACGTGGGTTTTTCGGAATTTTGATTATGCTTTTCGCCAGAGGCAAAATCAGAAAATAATGAAAATGACCAGAAAAAAAAATGATTTGTTTAAGAATTGAAAACTAAGTCGCATTTAGCAAGAAAGAGCTGTTTCCGACGACATTTAAGCAAAAGTAGGTTACAAACCTTTGGTTAAAATTTTTCCATCTTGCACGAGACGTGTAGAACGGTAAAAAAAAAAAAAAGAAACCATTAAAATGAGTCATTAGATACACCTTAAAATCAGCAGCATGACAGCTAAAACAATTTGCATCACAATTTCCAAGGTCCTAGAGTGAACGCCAAAGTCGTGCTCTATTGGGATAAGCCGTTTCTGGTTGTTTGGGTTAGATGGGAATTTTCTTGTTCTACCTTTATCGGGGAAAACTCGTTTTTGGTTTGTTTGGTTAATCAACGTTTTAAACCGCCCTCAAAACAAGTTGAAACGCAGTTGAAAAAGCATTTGCGTGATTATGGCGCGTGACTGTCGCTCAAGTAAGGACTAGTTCCACGAGTGACCGCGTTTCAACCGAAAACGGTTGGAAAAGTGCTTTGTTGAGAAACGCAAACCGTATCAACCCAAACTGGCTGCGGTTGAAACGGTTTACCTTAAAAGAACACGACCGCGACTTACATTAGCTACAGATTTGCATTTTTCCTCTGGCATAAGGCATAATAAGAAGCTCGAAATATACAAGAGGGATCATTTTTTGTATCGTACAATATATATTTTTCAGAAGCATATCACCTGAAAGCGTTTAACTTCCCTTATCTGTTCCAAACTATGCTGCCGATTATTCCCGACCAATGAAAATCACTCTTCTAATTTTTGCCCATATAAAGAAATTCTGAATAGCGCGCTTTTCGCGAACTCCTCGCGTGAATCTCTCGCAAAACAAACCTGTTCAAAATGGCGTCTATAAGGCGAAGAAGCTCTCGGTTATGAACATAAGGAAGATTTGTGCCCCGGGAAAAGAATTGAGAGAGGAAGTTGCATTTGAAAGAGTTTCTGGGGAGTTGGCAGAAACCTTCAAGGTTTATCTGGACTCTTGTGCCAGCGAGTTTGAATCGATAAAACGTTGCAGCAGTCTCTGGCTGGTTTTAGTAATAAAAAGTCAAGTGAGCGATTTTTTGATTTGTTCAGTGAAAAGGTGATATGCTTCTGATTTTTTTCCCATGACCATTTTTACTATGGCATCTACCAAGCACTACCAGTAGATGGTGGTCTATTTTATTTATTCAATAATATAATTTTTGTATTAAAATCTTTTTTTCGTCAAGGTTGTGCTCAGTGTCACCAGACAAAAGGTCTATTCAAAAGAAGGAGTGTAATTAAATGATATTCACATCACAAAGGGTGGAATTTTTTTGCAACTTTTTACAAGTGATGTAAAGATTTAGCAAGGTTTTCCTTTTAAAAGTCTCAATTTGCCGTGATATGTGCAAAATACAACTCTAAAATTGCTGAATTCAAATACAAGGAAATATCAGCCGCCCAAAATAACTATTCTCATCGCGATGGGCATGAGCCATAATCAACAGTCACGTAAACGTAGTTGAAGTCCTTTTTTATGTCGTACAATGGTCATTTTGTCCGGATATCCACTCACACTATAGTAAATGTTAGAAAGCGCGAAGAAATCAGGCTGTTGTACTAAGCAAGATAAAATTCACACAATACTCGAGCACAATGCGGACAGCCAGGTGAGAAGTAATTGGGACCGGTGAGGAGGTTAATTACCTAATGGTATCTTTATTCCTTTTTGGGCTCAGCGCGCGTGCTCCTTGTCGATTGAAAACCTTGTTAACCAGCAAGTATAGTCAGCCTTATAGCAGTACTGGTCCAAATTATTTTTTAGCAAGGGGACCGCACTTGTTTTGCCAAAGAATGTTTCTTGTCTTTTGATCTTTCTTTTGATGTTTTGTTTCTTTATTTTGACGTTTCTTGTCTTTTGATATATCTGTTTTAGGTGTAGGTCTTGTGGGGGTATTCCAATACAGAAGTAGCATATTTTGTGTTGCCAGAAATAAAATATGTAAAACAAAACCTTCAAAGGAAAACCTAGCAATGGAACATAACACACCCAAAGAAAATCTGGAATATGTACGGAGAATTCTGTACGGCCAGAACACCCAGAACTGACTGAAAAATATCAAGAACACTTAAGACATATACGTATACACTTAAGACATAGACGTGTTGCTGTCAGCTTTTTTGATCTCGGCCTTGGCTGAAACATTGGCGTGTTAAAAGACATTATAATTATTATTACTCACGTATCGGCGATGTCATAATTTGTGCTTTTAAATTCGTTGACGAACAAGTTAAGCTTTGTTCGTGTGCTTGCCAGGACGTAAATTATTGAAATTATATAGTTACAAATCGGTGTTACCAAACAGAAAAGTAGACTGAAACAGTAATCAGGAAATATTGTGTTAAGAGAATCAATGAATACAGTCTTCTAAAAAATTGCACTTTTCACTGTTTCGTTATCTCGTGCTTCATGAATCCATCATCAATATTATATGTTGCTTCAGTTGTACTTACATGAAATTTATTTTGAATAAAATTCGATCATATTCCACTTCGCAGCACCAGCTTCAAAGTTTGCATAATGTTTGGTGTTCGTAATATAATCGGTATATTTAAATTGTCGTGTCAAATGCAAAATACGTATTTCAAGCGTGAAATAAATCAATATTCTGCGTCAACTTGATCGAGCTTACATAGCATTTTCGGTGGCGACAAGCGACAGCCAGAAATACGTCTGCGTTCGGAGGTTCAGTCCCTTACAAGACCTGATGCATTTTAGAAAAAAAGATAAGCGCCAAAAAGTGTATCATCATTACAGTTCCTTCTCACGCATTAACTTATCATAATTTATCCACTGGGAAGGATGATAAACAAAACATGTCGGCCTTGTTACAGTTTTTATGCTTCACTTGTCTTTTAAACAAAAGACCTTACTTTTTCGTGGAAAAAAATAAAGCAACAAGCTCGAAGAAATAAGTGCTTTCCGGTTTCTTGCTGCGAAAGAAGTCTTTCTTTATAAAAATGCAGATACCGTGAAGAGAAACGACTTCGTATTGGCTGCCCAATATAACTGAAGGGAGTATAAAATTCCTTTACGCTTCAGAAGTTTTTTCCTCTAGAGTTTTGCATTTTAAGACAGACGCGCAAAATCTATTGAGTGTGATTCACGGCTTTGCCACGCTTGGCTTCAGGAGCTCGGCGTTGATAGAGACCTGTGTTTTCTTGATTGTGTTGCGGAATACATTTCTTAGTTCAATTTCACCACTGGCCGATATTTAAAGAAGTTAGTTTAACGTCAAAATCGGTAAGGCTGTTTTTATTTAATATCACTTTGTACACATCGAAGAGAGTGCAAAATGTTCGAGAAACCCTTAGATGCTTTTAATTGATAAGGGTGGTTTAGACCTCAACATAGCTGTACACCCATATCTGTAGTACTTTTGGACCTTTTGAAAGCTTTTGACAAATCTTTTCAGTATTAACTTGAAATTGAACTGTTAATGAGGTTCTCGATCGGGAACTTGGGAAATAATTCTTTATTCGACGTAAACAAAACTAAATTTTTTATGACAACTGAGTCGTAAAAAAAGCGCCCCATAAAGTTACTCGCATTAGTCAGTTCACGGGCGTGAAGTAACTTTGTGTGAAGTTTTCTGGTTTCCTGAACAACAGCGGCACATTTCATTTGGACTTGCTTGGAACATACCATTGGCCCGTTAGAACTGACAGAAAAACATATCTTAGCATTATTTTAAAGCCTTTAAAGAGAAAAGAGTTCTAACTCATATTCGTGCAAGGACGCGTGAAATTCTTTGTCCTCTCAAGTGAAACCAGCAGTCGTGAGCCAATGCATATCTTTTTTCTACCCGCTTAGACAGACGTCAGTATTCGGTTGTAATACATCCAAACATGATCATAGACCATAAACAGGAAAAATATAGAGTGGAAACTAAACAAATCGAAGTGCGTGCAAAGCTAAGAGAAGTATCGATTATTCAATTGATGTTTGTACCTTTAATACAATTTGCATTCTATTTTCGTTCTACACCGTTAGCTCGATAATATTTTAAATAAATATCAGCCCCGTTTAGCGGAAAGCAAGGACATCTGTTCGATGCCCTGTAGCCGATTTCAGGTCTGCTAAATACAAATAATCGCAAAAGTATTGAGAAAAATGTGGCTTTCCTGAAATAAACAGCACAGCCTATTGTCTAAATGTTTTCGGTTTTTCGACAAATAAACTCAGATGACAACATCTTGGCGTCAAAAGAAACGGTTGATCAAACATGTATACATTGTGAGCTGTCATGTGTAAATTTCAGCTGGATAGATTCCAAGACTCTTTGATCAAGGCCTTTGCGCCAAAAACTAAATTTAAAACACTTATTTTTGATACGATGTTTTAAATGAATCTTGGGCATCTGGTTTAGTCAGGGTTTCCACGATTGAAAAATGTAACTGCTCCCGAGGGAACTGTGCCTACACATGCAATCAGCAGTTTGGCGAGGAACGCTCTTATATTGGGTCTGCTATGAAAATTTGTAAACTAAAAAGCATCTCGAATGTGCCCAAGGCTATCTATCTTCAAAATTTTAACCTCGAATTCGATACACAAGTTTAACGCTACGACGAAGCTCAGTAGAGGGTCTTCTGTTACAGACTTCAGACTAAAAAGTATTCAGGGAGACCACCATTAAATCCGAGAGCATCCGATTGTTTCGGCACTTGTTTCACCCGCCGAGAAAAATTAACGAAAAAACCGAAACGTCACTGAAATCGAGTTCCCAAACGTTTTTTTCGGCGGAGACAAACGACAGCCGGAAATACGTCTTCGTTCGCGGGCTACCGTTATGATTAGAGTCATTTTTAATGGAATGTTCAAAATTACCTTCAAATCAAGGAAAACCTTACAGAAATGGTTAGCTATGTTAGAAGACAATTCAAAAGGTAATAATAAATCGAAAAGAAACACGAAAGGTTAAATTTGTGGAAAAAGAAAGTTATTCCATTTCTTCCGTTCGCCCTTTCATCAGACGTCAGTTCCCATCGGCCATTCCTGATTTTACGCGCTCCGTTGTCACGTGACTTTCCTTGGAGACCTTGACACCGCCGTGTTGATTGTAAGAGACTGTTGTTCTTTTGGACGCGCCGAGACGACATCTTTTTTGGCAATTTCTCCAAACGCCACAGTTTTCCAAAGTGTCTTAATATGCGGAGTGTAGAGGACACTTGATGCCTGCTTTCAATTCCTCGCCAGATGCCGCGAAGCCGGCTGGCAAACTCACGTACACATTCGCGCCTTCTCTGCTGAAAGCGAAATCGCACATTTCTGCGTTGCCAGCGATTCCTCCGCAGGTTGGCACGTTATCAAGGACATATCGATCCAGAGTTCCTGCCAAATTAGCTACAGTTAGCTTGGTTGGACGGTAAGTTCCTGAAGTTTCCTTTGTTTGAGTCTTTTTTAGCTACTTTGTGAAAAAGATCTCAAAACAGCCATGTGCATTAATTAAACTTAAGCTTAATGAATTTTAGTGTTGGATGTTTGATCAGGGTTTGTTAACCGCGGCACAAATTCCCGAAATTTGTCATTTGCAGGAGGGATCAGTCAAAAAATGCCCCAAACGTATTTTTTGAGGAAAAAGAGGATGAAAACTTTGCAAGTAAGACGGAAGTCAAAGTTATGTTTTACATTCTTGGAAAACTTTACTATCTTTCATAATTTATGTAGTTCTAACTTAGCATAAGATATATTCTTTTTTGAGTTTTTAGTCCAATTCATTATAATTTTATTATGCACTAAAACCTATTTTGTGGCAGATAATGTAATGGTAACTAAGATCTCTATATATTTAGAAGTACAGCTGTACTTGACTATGCATACCAGGACAAACAGTTTCTTTCATTAAGTCTAATATACAGATTTAGGCCAGTCTAAAAGAGTAACTCTTGGGCCAGATTGTTTCAGAGCCTGATTATGCTAACCCAGGGTAAGGTAGAAATTTGATTTGAGTTTTGTAACTTTGAGGTGAGGTTTTCTGTATATTGTTTGGCCCTCTGTCTTAAGTTTTATAATCACACTATACACAAAACAAAGCAGCAAAAAACATTTGTATAGAAGAAAAAGTTATAACACGGTCAACTTTTATTCTTGGGTTAGGGTTAACCAGCTTCCGAACAACCCGGCCCTGTTTTCTGCAAGTTAACCTGACATGAGCCCGCGATCCAATTGAAAACCGGTATTTGGTCAGCAATCAACTTTAAAAAACCATGTGACCTCAATGAGCTCTAAACTTGAGCCTGCGATAACGTCACGTGATACTGGTCAGCAGATACGTTGTTTTGACAGGTGTCAATTGATCATAACATGGATGTCCAATATCAGAGAAGTACGGTGTAAACCAAGGCTGTATGTCTCTGTCAAACTATTATTTGGAATATGGCCGCCATCTTGCGCAACTCTGTCGCTGTCACCATCGTTGTGCATACGCGCCCACAAACAATACCGGTAGCCTTGATAACCATGAGAAAATTCATTCATGGGTTTTCTTTTCTTTCCCATATGAGTATGGGGCTCCGCTTGGCAACCCTTTGGGCTGCCGGAGCCCCGCTAAAATGAAAGTTACAAAACTGTATGCACAATGTTGTTATCCTGTGTGTTTAATATAGTCTGCACCAAAATTTAACAGCATTTACATGTAAGGTTTGCAAAAATACGTTAACTGGATTTAACTCTGTCTGCATGCTAGGTCTAGAAGAATGTTTACAGTCACGCCCTCCAATGCGGCTAGACTTGACGGGTCCTAAACCTACAACCTATGACCCCCCTACAAGTCTACCTTGGGTAACATCATCACCATCTTATACAATGAGACCCAAGACTCAGCCAGAAAAAGGTAATTATTATATTTCATAACATGTATTTTTTATGGCTTATATGTTTTTACATTTTTTTAAATTTTTGAGTAGTTTTTAAAGGCAATATTTGACAAAGAAGCAAAGGTGGTGCACAAAAAATGTTATCTGTGGATCAAAATTAGAAATTTGTCCAGTGATATGATTTATATGTCATTAACGGCATGTTATCAACTCATCTCTGAAATGCTTTTGTAGTTATTTCTTTGAACTCTGGATAACTATAAAACCTTTTCTTGTGAAATTGTATGAATTCAGCTGTAGATAAAATGAATGTGTGATTAATATTTTATGAAGGGTTTTACATCTGGTCTCACGTAAAGGTCGTAGTATTAATTTGTCCTGTTAAATGTGGTACATGTAGATGTCTTCTACATTTTTCTAGTACTTAGCTAAATTTTCAAATTTCAAATCCTGGAATTACATGCATACAGTGCGAACAATAAATTTTTATGTAAAGTTTCAAAAGATTGTGTGATCTTTTGAAGACAAATGAAGCAAGCAATATTAATATAAATATCAATTTTGAAGATTCTTAACAGACCTACTGGTAGCATACTCCAAAATATAGTGTAGCAACAGTAAAAGAAAAGTTGCAGTCTGAATACTACTGGGTGGCAAAGTTTATTTTATTGTCATGATTTTTTTTTTTTTTCTCACAACAGATAAAGGGGGTGATAGAGTAGCATGGACCAAACAGTGGATTGCCAGTCCTGATATCTGGACATACAGGGCAAACTTTGATAGCAGGGTGAGACAAAACACTATATTGTTTGTAATTTTAACAACATGAAACTGGGCTTCAAAGAATTTAAGACCTACCTGTGATTAATTTTTCAACATATCACTAGCAAACAAGAGTAGAGATAAAAAGCACAAATAGGCTTGATTTCCGCCGCTCTTTTGGGTCTGCCAAAACAGCGGCTGGTAATCAAGCTTAGACCATGAATGAATGGTCACGAATAAATATTTGTCACTGATTTTTAATTGCATACTGTGTTTATCTTTCCTGGTGTTCTATCACACAAAATAATAAAGGTGTTTTGCTTCATGGTGTGGCATTGCATTGATAATAGTTTTGTTTTGTATTTCAGTATACCTGGCCATCTCCAGCTCACTACACCTCAAGAACTACTGTTGGTAGCCCCCAGTTTACCTTGCCAGAGTCTCCATCACACACATTTGGCAAGAGGGGAGAATTCTGTATATCCAAGAAAGGTAAATTCACATTTCAGCAATCAGCTAAATATGCATATTGAAGTTAAATTGAGTTATTTTATGGCTCATGTTTGTAGCTGATATCATAAATGCATGCTCTGATTGGCTTAAATTCTAGGGCATTATTCTCCCATAATGCCCACAAGAGATGCAAGCCTGTAAAACCAAAGCAAAAACCATATACTTAAACAACTTATTAACCTCGGACATTCAGTCTTTATGGGAAAATCTCAAACCTCGGCCTTGCCGGATTGATATGAGAAGTTTGCTTGTGGCCACCTATGTATAACACATATAGTCCTTAACAAGTGGTTGCATGTGCAATTCTTAGCGACCAATGTTTCATTCCTGTATGTATGGGCAGGTGATGAGATTAAGGAATTTGTTATTTAAGAGATATGGTTGTGACCTATTGTCACCAATTTATTAAGGTTTAATAGAACGTGTACAAGTACATATATCTGGCAGTTAAAATGGAAACACTCTTTTAAGCTGAGTTAGCTTTGGAATTTGTTCCGGGAAACATCTTGTCAAGCCCCTGACATTGCCATTGCATGTCAATGACACTGACTGATGAAACTAGTCGTGGAATAGTATATTGTATGCTACATATAAACACCAGCAAATTCAACTTTTTCACATTCTTTTTTATTCGAAACAATTTTCACAATTGATATTGCAATAAATTTATAGCTGTACTCAGTATAGAGAATCGAGCCTGGGATCAAAAATGATAATGAGTAGTGATCATGTTTAAATATATTTTGCACAGGTGCAGAGGATGAACCAGCTCCAAACCAATACAATTACAACAAGGCAAAGGAAAAGTGCATGAACAAGTCACCATCATACACAATTCAACAAGGCAGAAGGGGTGGGGCTGTGTTTTGGATGGCAAGAGGTCAGCCTTTACTCTTTCAACTGCTTGTTTGTGAAATATATGTTCATGAGCACAGAAGACTGTAACCTGTATGTTAAGCCCTGTATCTGAAAATGTTGACTGTCTTGTTGAATTGTTGTTTATTTGACTAACAGCTGTCATACATGTAGACTAAATAGTCATTTAGTAGTTTCTTGATTGATAGACAGACAGACTGACTGACTGACTGACTGATTGATTAAATGATTGATTGATTGATTGATTGATTGAAAATGAATACTTGATGCTCTTCGTCTTCTTCATAACATTTTAACCATACTGTATCCTCAAAAACCCAGACTTCCAAATTTAATGTTGACATGTTGTGTTTTGCTTCTTCACCAGAGCCCGTCCCAGGTCCTGGGTCCTACAATCCTCGAGTATATCGCACAAGCAGCAAACGTTGTGCTCCAGCATTCACTATCTCCAGAACACCGAGAGAGATTGGAATCACACAAAACTGTACCTTGTAAAAAGAGGTGTGAGATCAAGTTGACTTGAATCAATCCCAATGGTGGACTCAGTGAAGATGACTTGTTTGACAGCAGCCAACAGATTTGAATGTTGTCCATGGACAAGGAATGTCTTTGATCCAATAGGCATTTGGGCTTGCCTGTTGAAGCGTGATGTGTCACGCAACGTCACATCACAAACAATTGCGTTATGAAGGAGCAAAAAACAGTTGTTTGTATCTTGCAGGACAAACAAGACAGAGTTGTCTTTTTTCCTCCATAATTTTTAGATTTCCAGTATTCCAACAGAGTGGAAGATATGAGCTTGAATTGTAAACAGTGTTTTTCGATTGTTTATACATTTGTGCAATTTGACGTGTGACATTTGAATTTTAAGAGTACTATTTATATGCGGTAACTGAACAAATTATTATGTAATTTTGTAGTTGTATTTCATATTGCGCAGATTTATAGATTTTATATATGCATTGTTTTGAAATAAACGAAATAGCGTCTTGAGTTCCCAATTGCACCCTTTCAGCGCCCATTTATTTCATATTTAGCTTCGTAGAGTAGCGCGTAGTTGTTACAGCTATAACAAAAGCTCATACAGTGCAGCTCAGATATATACGAACTACGCATACGCGTATTATACGAGCGTGTTTTGCGTATACGCGTATGTTAATACGCGCACATATGCGCGTATATACGCGCGTATATGTCTCGTTGTTATGCATTCCCACAAGTTTCTTTATGTGAAGCAGTGTTTGTTAAACAAAGGACATTACATTTCTGGGAATGAAAAAGGCTTCAAAGCGAAATTTG